TAGCATGTGTTTGGCACTCAGTAACTTCTGATTATTAACATTAGTCTTTGTGCTTGATTTTCAGAACTAATTCTGATGTTACTTTTTTATACTTGTTAATATAAATTGGATTTCCGTAATTCTTCTAGTCTATTTCTTCTCTCCAGTGAGTTGTGAGAAAACTGAAGCAGTACAGGAGAGAGAGAGAGATTCTGATGAAGCATTTCTTTCTAGAATATATTACAGTACCACTTTTTACTGCTTTTATAAGCCAGCTGTCATAGTAACTAAAATACTCTTTTTAAAAAAGCCATAAGAAATTCAGCTATTGTCTGGAATAGCTTAAAAGAAAGAGACTCCATGTCTACATACATTTTCTAATATGGGCAGTTTTTAAAACAAGAATATCCTTTATTCCTGAAGAATAACTGACTACTTTAAGAGCTGTTTAGATGAAGTCCATCTGATAATGAGATTATTATCTTGTATCAGAATGACAGATACACAAAACTCTCTTAAAAGCTTTTAGAGACTTATGCTGAAAGAAAAGGAGATTTTAAAAGGAAAGCTTCTGGGTTTTTTATTTGTTTTTAGTTTAGTTAAATGACATTTTAACTCTACTCAGTGTCTGAAAGGTAGAAGGGTTTTTTTTGACCTATTGCTCAGTAATGTTTCTGCTCTTTTTGGATTCAAAGTTAAAGCTTATCTGCATTTTACAATTGAACTTTTTATGTGATTCTTCTTTAAGAAAACTATTCTCTCCCTTCCTGGGCAAAATACCTCTGCCAGAAAAAGAAGGGAAGAAAGTATTCTTACTAAATTAAATAGTAAGCAAAGTATATAACAGGTAATTTCCAAAAGAAAATGTCGATAGCTAATAAAAACTCCCCAAAAGTTTACCTTTTTATTTAAAAAAATTAGATCATGTGTGGTTTATATTTTCCCCGTATCAAATTCACAAATTTAAATGAAAATAATTAGAACTGGCAAGAACAATAGATGAAATAGTAAAATATCATACTCAGTGGGAATTAATTTAAATAGTAATTTGGCCCATATACATTAAAAACATTTATACTTTTAGTATTCCAGTTCTACGACTTTCTCAAAGGAAGAAATCCAAAATACAGTTAGTTTTACATTCAAAGATGTTCTTTTAGACATCTTTATAACAATATGAAATTAGAAATAGTCAACACGTAGGTAAATGAAAATATTGTTAATCTATAAGGTGAAATATACTGCCCTTACAATTGACACACAAAAAAGGCATACAACTACTATGACAAGTTCTTGAAAAATAAACCTGAATTTTATCAAGCCTCTAACTCAAACAGCCAGTTTACAGGAAATACAGAGGACAGAGGAACATGTTAAATGTCACTGGGGGGGGGGTGCACTCAGCAAAATACAAAATCTAACACACTCTACAGGACAAATTACATGGTTTCCTCAACAAATAAATTGCAGGAAAAAAATTTAGAAGGGGTAAGAGGAACCCAGGGATAAAAAAAAAAACAATCAAATTGTAGAAATGTTATTTGGCACTTGATTTAAACAAACTGAAAATGTTTATGAGGTAATTGGGCAAATTTGAAAACTGATTGTATATCTGATGGTGTTGAGGATTTGTTCTTAATGTTTTGGGTGTGATACTGGTATTGCCTAGAATTTGTTTCAAAATAATCTCCAGATGGGTAGGGTGGTAGTAAAAGGCTTTGGAGGAAGCGAGGTTGGCAGTTGGCCATGTGTTGAGGCCAGATGGTGGGTACATGGACTTCATGTTCTTACATTCTCTACTCCTGTGTATGTTTGAAAATACCCACAACCAAAAGCTCAAAAACAACAAACCTGAATATATGAAATTTTCAGATTAATTCAAGTGAAAAAAAGCGTGATATACATGGATTAATTTCAGTTATGATTTTTTTAAATGCAGAGGCAAAAAGAACACAGTATACAAAATGTTATCAGTGACTGCTTTTAGGCAGTGAGATTTACATGACTTTTCTCTCTATAATAATTGTATTATGTATGTAAATTTATATGCTTGCCAATTTCTTTACAATGAACACATTTTAATTTTATTTTGATGAATGGTTCAAAATTCAGATGGTTGGTCTAAGAACGGATACAGTGAACCTAGTTCTGCCCTTCATTTCTCAGTCCCATTTTACACTTAAATCTGATGTATCTGGAGTATGTCCTAGTTAGTATCTGCCTAGTTACTCCCAGAAGGAACAGTGTTATCCATTTCTTGTATCTCCATCTAGAAAATATATATATACATATATATATATATA